CTCAATCTTTAATGGTTTGAATAATTACATGCCCACTACTTTTCCAAAATGAATATGTAAGCACAAGGAAAAAGTTAGGGATCATGAAAAAAAAATTATGTAAGTGATTATAAAAGATTTATAGTTTTTAAATTACCTTAATTAGTGTGTGATATTTTATTATAAGTGTAATTTAAAAATCATAAAATTTTCATAATTATTTTCATGAAAATTTTTTCATAATAGGCCAAGTTTGGCATGATTGAAAAAAGACAAAAAGTCAAAAAGTTACTATCCTATTTAAGTCACATCATCATATTTAAGTCACATCACCTCTCTAACACATCACTTCAAAACCAACCTAAACCCAACCCATATTTCATAAAAAGTCAAAAAATACACTTATTTAGTCTTCCCAAACTAGGCCTAACATTGCTGAAAGAACAAAGAACTTTCAAACGTATGTTTATTAGTTTTGACTCAGAGGCTCCATTAATGCAACATGTTAATGGTAAACAAATGGTCACTTATTTATTTATTTTGACTTTGAAAAAAATAAGTATGTATATAAAAAATAGGATAAATTATAAATATATTTTTTAAAATTTATTTAAAATACAAATTATTTTTTATTATTTGAATAATTATAAATACTTCCTTGTTAGAATTTTTTATTTATCAAAATTAATTAAAAAAGTAAAATTTCTAACTGTTCACCTATACAATAATAAAATTATAATGTAATTTTTAGAATTATAAAGGGTAATTTGTCATTTAAATAAATTTCAAAGGGTGTGTTTGTAATTTATCCTAAAAAATAAAACTCATGAAGCGAACAAACTACTAGAAGGCTATTTTTTACAGGCGTTTTTGTTTCCAAAAATGCAACAATAAAAAGTTTGGTTTTGGGGTTTATAAATAGAGAAAAGAAAAATGTCTAGATCCCTTTTTTTTTCTCACCCCCTTTGACCGTCTCTCTCTCTCATTGGTTGGATTTTTTTTTTTCCCTTGTCTTCAAATCACCACCCGCTACGTGTATGTGGGGGGGTGGAGAAGGCTATTTTTTACTGGTGTTTTTGTTTCCAAAAATGCAACAATAAAAAGTTTGGTTTTGGGGTTTATAAATAGAGAAAAGAAAAATGTCTAAGATCCTTTTTTTTTTTTCTCACCCCCTTTGATCCTCTCTCTCTCTTTCATTGGTTAGATTTTTTTTTTTCCCTTGTCTTCCAATCACCACCCGCCACGTGTATGTGGGGGTGGGGGTGGGGGTGATTGGAGGGGGTCTCCATCACTCCTCTAGAGAAAATTAGTGAAACATTTTTCTCTAACTTTGTTTTAATTTAGTCTCTAAAGTATGCACTTTTTATATTTTGATCTCCATTTTTAATTTTACTGCATTTTTTTTTTTTTTGAATAAAATTATGAAAATACCTCTTCTTGTATACTATTTTTGAAAGCTACAGTTGTCAAGTACCAAAGTATAACAAATCATGTATTTTAGAGATCAATGTAAAACAATAAAAAGTTTGGGAACTAAGGCGTAACAAAACGAATACTTTAGAACCATGTGTGTAATTAACCCTAAAAGAAATTATAAAGCTAATCATTAATAATTTTGTAATTGAGTTTGCACATAAAGTTAATATTCAATTTTATAACCTAAGTATTTTTCTTTTTAATTGCTTCTTCTTTATCTAAAAATAAATAAAATAAAATAAAGCAAATTATATATATAATGCGCCTGCAGGCAGATCATATGGCATATTCCCAAACTCAACTAATTAATAAATCCAATATAAAAATAATAATAATAATTAATAAACACGTCAAAAAAGTCATTCCAGCTGAGTCATACATCAATCAATAATGATAGAGAGCTCTAATTTTGAAACTTTAAAAAAAGCTTTAGTGATGTGGGAAGAGGAAAAAAAAAACAAAAAACAAAAACATAGGCACACGCATCATATCATATGTATGCCCTATTTCTTGCCACATCACTAGAACTCTCTTTAGAATTCCAAAATTAGAAAATTCAATTTTTATTCTATATCAATACCAAACCTTTTATAAAAGTAGATTGAGGCCTATTTTGGCGAATCAAGATCTCCTTATTGCATTTCCTCGTTGCATTTCTTACTTGCAAGCTCATTGGGCTCACTTTTAGGCCTAATTTTGATAATACGAACCGTTTTTATTTTAAGATTTGTTCAGTATATCATACTTGTAAAAAATCAAGTTGATCGAATATCAGAAAGTATGTGTTTGGAAAACTATTTATTAAATTCTTTAAAAAAATAGTTTTTAGTTTGAGTTTTCCGAACACATACTTTCTGATATCCGATCAACCTGATTTTTTACAGGTATGATATACAAAACAAATCTTAAAATATGAACGGTTCGGATTATAAAAATTTGGCCTAAAAGTGGACCCAATAGGCTTGCAAGTAGGAAATGTAAAGAGGAGATCCTGATTCTATTTTGGCATCGGGTTAAAAGTCAATTTTTGACTATTTGATTTTTTTGAGTCATATTAACTCTCTATTTTTTTTTATATATTTTCTTTAAAAAAAATTTAAAAAAAATAACTTTTAACCTATATCTCAAAACACCATGCTAGCCTAGGCCAACCATAGTCGTAGTTCCAAGTTCCGTACAATAATTATCCACATGGGCTAATTATTTAAAGAAAATGCGAATTAGTGGTACAGTGAGTAAATAATTGCATTATAGATAGATAGATTTTATTTATTTATTTATTTTTAATTATTGCAACATAGCTTGCACTAAATACACATAAAATTTACATCATTATAAAATATAAATATATTTTTTTTAATTATTGAGCCTAGGCCAACCATAGTCGTAGTTCCAAGTTCCGTACAATAATTATCCACATGGGCTAATTATTTAAAGGAAATCCGAATTAGTGGTACAGTGAGTAAATAATTGCATTATAGATAGATAGATTTTATTTATTTATTTATTTTTAATTATTGCAACATAGCTTGCACTAAATACACATAAAATTTACATCATTATAAAATATAAATATATTTTTTTTAATTATTGCAACATAGGAAGACCTTGCACTAAATACACATAAAATTTACATCATTATAAAATATAAATATTTTCTTATAGTTTTACTGATTTGTAATTTTTTGTAATTATATAGTAAAACTATGCAAGAGTATTATGTGAATTATTTATTAATGTTCTAGAAAATTTTACTAAACAATACCAACTTTGTTAATTAGTTGAAAAATAGTGAATGATCTAGTTTATATGCTTTGTACATTTTTATTAGGAAAATAACAAATCAATGGTATTTTTAAAAAATAATTACAAATTCATGGTAAATTTTATAAATTTTAATAATTATAATTATAATTTTTTTCATAAATCTGTAATCATTTTGAAAAATGATCAGTAACTTGTAATTTTCTCTTTTTTATTTAATAAAAATATGAGAAAATTTTATTTCAGTACAAGTTTCACAAAAAAAAAAAATGGCAAATGGGTGGAAAAGTTTATCAAATTTAATAATTAAACTTATAAATTTTGAGATATTTATCAATAAATCTCATACCACAAACAAGTACTCCAATTAGTCTAAAGTTTTTTCTATTGATCGGTTGAGTCCTATTAGTGGAGAGTTTCTTTCCATGGGGTCCTATTTTTAATTTTGGTAGTATTTTGGTGGACAACTATACCCTTTTATTAATGTAGCAGGTATGATGTGGCACTCCAATGTGGCAGGTATTATCGTGACACTCCAACGTGACAGGTATTATGTGACACTCTTAAGCTCCGTTTGGGAAGAGCTAAACGGGTCTTTTTTGGCTATTTTAGCCACAAAAGACAAAATAGGCTATTTTAGTCACAACAAACAAAATATTACATTAAATCCATAATCATTACACTCTTTTTTCACAAAAAAAAAAGCTAAAAAGTCCTTCCCAAAACAAACTTTTTAGCCTAAGTTAAAATAGCCAAAAATTCAAAAAGTCAAAAAGCCAACCCACTTCCCAAACGGAGGCTTAATGTACTTTTCTCAAATATAATAACATGGTGGATATGATGTGACACTCTAATCTTTTACTGAAAAATAAATAAATAAATAAATAAACTATAAACTCCTTAGTGTCCTTCTTCTAAATATGACAATGTGACGGGTATAATGTGACACTCCAAAAAAATTAAAAATTTCTTAATGTACTTGTTTCAAATGTGACAATGTGGTGAGTATGATGTGGCACTCTAAAAAATTAAAAACTCATTAGTGTACTTTTTCTAAATGTGACAATGTGACTCAAATATGATAACGTGAAGGGTATGATGTAACACTCCAAAAAAAATTAAAATCTCGTTAGTGTATTTTTTTCAAATGTGACAACGTGCCGAATATGATGTGACACTCCAAAAAAACTAAAAACTTATTAATGTACGTTTTCCAAATGTGATAGCGTAGCAGATATGATGTAATACTCCAAAAAAAATTAAAAATTAATTAATGTATTTTTTCCAAACTTGACATGTGACACTCTAACATGGCGGGTATGATGACACTATAAAAAAATTAAAAAAAAATTAGTGCATTTCTTTCAAATGTGACACTCCCAACGTAACAAATATGATGTGACACTAAAAACTTCTTAGTATAGTTTTTTCAAATGTGACACTCCAATGTGGTGGGTAAATGAATCATTACACATCAAAAAAGACTAAATGAATTACAAAAAAAAATATAGACTATATGAATTACAAGTTCAAAATATAAGATTTATTAGTTACTCTCCCTAAATTCTTTCATGAATTTATAAATATTTTGTAAAAATATCAATTATTTGCAATATTCACTATAATATCACTTCTCTAATAATTTTCGGTCAAAGTTCAACTCCATATCAGTCACAATCTTGTCTCTCTCCAAATTTTCCACCAAAACCGGCGGCATTTCCTTTACAGCAATGTCAACGGTTTAGTTGCCATCTCAACCACTCTATCTCCTCACAATATATATCTACATCTGATTTTGATAAATTGTGTTGAACCCCAAAAAGTTTCCCAGTGATGAAGAGTCCGATCACCATTATGTTCCTTCCCATTCTAATTTGCTTGCTTAGCCTCACAACAACCAAAGCAACCCCAACTTACCTTTATACTGAATGCCCAAACACAACAACTTACACTCCCAACAGCCCATACCAATCCAACCTCAACACTCTCCTATCTGTTCTCTCTTCCAAGTCCACCTCCATAAATGGCTTCTACAACTACACTGTCGGCCTCAAGCCCCCCGACATAGCTTACGGCCTCTTCCTCTGTCGCGGCGATGTTTCAACCCAAACTTGTCAAGACTGCGTGGCCACTGCTACTAAAGAAATAGTACAAAACTGTCCCAATTCGAAGGTTGTTACGACTTGGTACGATGAGTGCATGTTACGATACTCGAACAAATCTATCTTCTCCATTTCTGATCAATCTGTCAGATATATCTTAGTCAATACGGAGAACATAAAGGATCCAAAACGTTTTACAAATTTGTTGGGAAAGGTGATGGATGATGTAGCGACTCGTGCTTCGAATAGCGTGTCGGGTAAGAAGTTCGCGACGAGAGAAGCTGATTTCTCGGCACTTCAGACACTGTACGGCTTAGCGCAGTGCACGCCGGACTTAACTACCTCTGACTGCAATACTTGTCTTAGAGATGCTATCTCGAGTTTTCCGGATTGCTGTGATGGAAGAAGAGGTGGGAGAGTTCTGTTTCCGAGTTGCAATGTCCGGTATGAGACTTATCCTTTTTATGCCATCCCTGCTCCGCCGCCTTCGTCAGGTTAAATATATGTATCAGTCAATAATGTATCGACGAATATATCAATAACGGCGATATTTAAAATTTATTGAAACTTTGTCAAGTTGGCTTATAGAATAATATAAGTTCTCTTATATATTGCAAGTTCGCTTTTTATGCCGCCCAGCACTGCAGCGTTGACTTTTGTAAGTAGTAATATTGAGATATGTATCAATATCTAATGAAAAATGCTTGGGAGCACTAATTAGTGCTCCCATTAATGAGGTGGCAGTGGGTCCCGTTATTAATGATGTGATGTTTTGGTCTTGGAGTTGTTGTTTTTTTTTTTTTTTTACTTTTTTAATGCATTAGTGCTATTAGTGGTGATGTTTTTAATGGGATGAATCATTGTTGATATCTAATTGAATTATGGCTTTATTTGGGAATCTATGTTTAGGGTTAAAAGTCTTAAATATTTAAAAAATCAAATAGTCTTAAACAGTATTCTAAGTTGTTGATCAAAAATCAAATAGTCTTAAAAAATCAAATAGCCTTAAAGGATATAATGATCATTTTGATTTTATTATAATATTTTATTATATATTTTTTTGTAAAAAGATAAAAAATTATCTCAAATATATAATTTTTTTTTATTTTTTTAACCAAAAAATCAAAAAGTGCACTTATATAACATATTCCAAACAACTCTTTAATCTGGGATTAAAAAGTCTCGTTTGGAAAGGACTTTTTGACTTTTTAACTTTTTTTTAGAGAAAAAAATGTAATGATTATAGGTTGAATGTAATATTTTGTCTTATTAGCCTAAAAAATTTATTTTGTCTTTTTGTGACTAAAATAGTCCCAAACCCAACACAACCATCCTTCCCAAACAAAGCCTTAAAAATAAAAAATAAAAATAAAAAGTGAGGTTAGAGACAAATTTGTTATTTCAACCTCAAACATTATTTCTAACACATTTTTCAATACAACAATCAATTAAAAAATTCAACCCAACTTCCCAACAATAAAAACTAAAATAACCTACTAAAATAATTAAATAACCAAAAAGTCAAAAAAGTAATTACTTGCCAAACAAGACCTATGTATGTTGTACCAAAAAAAAAAAAACCCCGTATATATTGATAACCCCGATATTTAACAACTTAATGGAACTCATCAAGCTAAAATAATAAAAGTTCTCATATATTGCAAGTTTCCTTACATTTTTATCACAATTTTTTTTTAATCCATTCAATTTTAATTATGACCATTAAACTTTTTACACTTTAACTCAAGTTGTGATAGTACTCTTCCATTCAGCTACTGTTAATGAAGTTGATAAAAATTAAAAATTAAGAAACGAAAGTAAGATTTTAGTGAAAATAAAATGATTAAAGTGAGATTTTGATAAAAGTATAAAGGTATTAATAAAATTAAAAACATGTCACGTTTAACTCACATAACAAGCTTCATTAGCTTTATTAATACTAGATGGACAAAATGACACTACAAGAAATTACACTTTCGGCTATCAAATTTTTAGTCGCCGAAGGTTGTTTTTTTAATCATCTAAAGTCAAAGGCGACTAAAGTTCTTCGTCGTCCTGTTGGTCACCAAAGCCTTATCGGCGATAGTCACCGACGGCTAAATTGACATTGGTCGCTAATTATCTTATCTTCGGCTACTAAAATGGAATTAGTTGCCAAACATAACCTTTTGACGACTAAAGATTTAGTTGCCGAAAGTAATCAAATCAAAATGAAATTCTGTTTCAGCTACTAAAATATTTAGTCGCTAAAACATTTTAGCCGCTAATAATAATACATTTAGCGACTAAACATTTTAGTAGTTAAAAATAATACATTTAGCGATCAAATAGTTTAGTTGTTGTTAGTTTTTCATGACTAAATATTTTAGTCGCCAAATACTGAATTTTTTCATTTCATTGTATTTTACGATCAAATATTTTAGTCGCCAAATGTTTTTTCGTGACTAAAATATTTAGTCGGTAATAGTTTCTTCTCTCATCTTGATTTGTTTTGGCTACTAACTATTTAGTCAACAAAAGTCTTTTGTTTCTTTTTTACTACTAAATTGCTTGCATTTTTTACTATCAAAATATTTAGTCACCAAAAATTTTATAATTTTTTTATTTTTAATTAATTTTTCGACCACCTGTATTTATTCTATTATTAATGCAACATGTACCCTATATATAAACAAAATAATCCATATACTGATTATATTAACAACCAGTCCACAACATGCACACATTTTACTTTCAGCCATCCAAAAAAATCATATTTAACGTTAAATTGTAAATGTAATAGAAATTTCATACAAACCAAGTATAATCCAACCTCAAAAATATAATTCCATACATAATTGAAGATTAAACAAAATTAATATCCAAAAGTTAATCTGTATCACCAAAAACTAATCTGTATCTTGCCAAAATGTAATATGTAATATGTACATGCCAAAAAATAATCTATATCATGCTAAAAAATTAATCTGTACCACAACAAAAAACTAATTCGTATCACGTCAAAAGGTAATACGTACCATGCCAAAAAAGTAATCTATACGAACAATACAAATTCGTAGATTAAAAATTATGTCTTTTGTACTTGTCGAAAAAAGTTGTATCCACGATTTCACACCAAAAACCGTGATGATATTTTAATTTTATTTAAAATATAAAGAGTTGATTGTAATAAATTAAAATGAATTGACTAAAGTGATATTACAATGAAAGTGTAATGATACTTTTGTAGGACAAAATTATATTAGTAGTCTCTATATTTTGCTCATTATATCATTTCGGTCCCTATATTTTTAATTAACTCAAATTTGATCCTTATTAATTTTAAATTTTGTGTCAATTTAGTGTAATTGATAATGCCAGTAATTCTTGTGATGAAAAATTATCACTGAATTAGTTGAGATTAACTCACTGAATTCAGTAAGTTTATAATTTATTTTTAAAAATATAACATATGTCACTTATATATGCGTGTTTTTCATTTTAAAAAAAAAGTAAGAGTTGTAATCAATTGAACTAAATTAAGACAAAATCATAAATTCAGTATCAAAATTAAGTCAATTAAAATTATAAGAACCATAAATAAAAACCAAAGTATAGAGACTAACATCGTAATTTACTCTATTTTATATAATCTAGTTAGTTTGGATCATGTGTGGTTTATTCTATAACGTTTAGATATGATTGCATAACACCCACATGATTTATAAATTAAAGTGCACCATTAAACATTCCGTCCAATTTAACAATAAGTGTGAAATACTTGGCAGACATAAGAGGGTTATATGCTTATTTTCAAATTTCAAAGGAATAAATTGCACATGAAATAAAGCACAGTAAGTTAAAGTGCGTTTTGCCTTCTAAACAAATGAGGAAATATCTGTAGTTCACACACTTAAGTTATTTATATACAGAGGTATTTTAATTTTTTTTATTAACTCGTTAATGGATTTAACAGTGCATTTCAACCTACATACTACGCGAGAGTTGTGTAATTATTTTTGAGTTTTAAAAGGATAAACCGTACATACCCCAAATCACAAAGAGGCAACGTAAAATTTATCAAAGCTTTTCTTTTGGCAGGTGGATTAAAAGTCACTTTTTGTCCTTTAACTTATTTTGAGTCATATCACATCTCTACTTTTTTACATATTTAAAAAAAATTAAATTTTAAAAATTAACTTAAACTATTTTCCAAAAACAATCCTACAATTTTCTTTTCCATGAATTATTTTGGGATGACTGGCTGGGCAACCACCAGCTTAGTTCGGATTGTTTGCCGCACTTTCCTGCGACCCTCCCTACTACACTGGCCAAAACGTCGTCGGGTGTTTTTTTTTTTTTTTTGTGGCTTCTTAGTCCCTTTTTACACCTCTTCTTCTCCATCTCCTTCTTCTTCCTTTCTATCTATAGAAACTACCAAACCCACCATCTCTTGTTCTCCATCTTCTTCTTCTTGCTCTTTGCTCTCTCTAAAAACTACCAAATCACACCCCCTATAAAATAAACCTATATTCAAACCCAAAAAGAAAATTTGCAAACCCACAAGCTTCTCAAATATAAATTTAATATAGATGCAATCTCAAATCTGCAAACCAAGCCCACCACCTCTTCTTCTCCATCTCCAAGGCCGGTCCTAGGGCATAGGCCACAAGGCCATGGCCTAGGGCCCCTCAAAATAGACTCAAAAAAAGGACCCCCTCCTATTATAATTTAGTGTAATATATTAGGTATGTTTTAAATCTAAAAAAATTTAAAAAGGCCAAAACTAACTTAAAATAAATTGACCCATTAAAAAATTAAAAGGTCATTCAAAAAAATTAGCATTGTTATCCATTGAAAATAGACCCAAAAAAAGGGAGTCTCTCTTATTATAGTTTAGTCTAATATATTAAGTATATTTTAAGTCCAAAAAAAATTAAGGAAGGTCCAAATTAACTTAAAATAAATTAATCCATTAAAAATTGAAAGGCCCATTTAAAATAATTAGCACTGTTATTCATTGAAAATGATTCTGCTAAAAAATTAGATTATGAAAGTATGATTGATTTATTTGCTTCTAAAAATACAAGAAGATGGAGGATCAAACGATACTTATTAGTTATTGTAATGTAATACTAAGTATTTTTTGTGATTTTGACACAAATCTTTTGTCCTTTACTTTCAAATTTTTTTTTTCATTCAACGAAAAAAAAAATGTGAAGGGCCCTAGAAATTTATTAGTTGATTATCTGATTTGGGCCCCGAAAATCTCAGGGCCGGGCCTGTCCATCTCCTTCGTCTTCCTTTCTATCTATAAAAACTACCAAACCCACCATCTCTTCTTCTCCATCTCCTTCTTCTTCCTCTTTTCTCTCTCTAAAAACTACCAAATCACACCCACTAGAAAATAAATCCAGATTCAAACTCAAAAAGAAAAATTGCAAACCTACAACCTTCTCAAATATAGATTCAGTATAGATGTAATCTCAAATCTCCAACAAATCACATAAAGACCCACATATCTAATAAAATTTCAAACTAAATGAAATAATTTTCCGTCTAATCTGGTTGTTTATCAGTCCGATCAAGTTGCACAGGTATCAATTTGGTTGCCCTTTCCTTCTAATAATGTTTCGGTGATGCCTCTTCCTTCATTCTTCTCTCTGCCCTCTTGCCTCTGCTTCTAGCCTTTTCCGTCTAAATATTTTCTTTCTTCCTTCTTTTTTCCTTCTAAGTGCTAGATCATGGTTGAATGTGTCGTCCGGGTGGCGAAGCATGTTGTAAGTTAGCTTGAAGTTTGATATGATGATTCATATATTCAGTGGAAACACTCTCTGTAAAGAACAACCAAAGATTTTGAAGATGATGATAAAAAAACCAATTAATCAAATGGACTGAAAAGAAAAAGTAAGAAAAAAAAAAAAGCCACGAAAATGACGTTGTTTTGGATGCGCCACAGGAAGGGCCGCAGATCCGAACTCACCACCGGCCTAGTGCAGTGCGCAACCGTAGTTCCAAGTTCCATACCATAATTGTCAAACATGAGCTAATATATTCCATGCAGTCCATTTTAGCTGCGCTGACCGATATGGGTTTTATTGGATTTTTTTTATTTTTTATTTTTAAGGTTATAGAGTTACATTTTTAAACTCACAAAGTCATCTATGCAGTAAAGGAGGGAGGTCATAAATCATTAGATGGGTAATATATCAGAAATTGAAATATATAATATTACATCATTATAGATATAATTATGAGAGTATTTTGTAGGTCTTAAATATTTTTGGGGCATTATCTACAAATATATTTAAATAAATAATTAAATAGATTCATCTAATAATCATAACATATTTAATTTATATCAAATTTAACACAAACAAAATGCACTACAAATGTGGTTTTAAACATAAATGATCTATTTTTTTTATGGTAAACGTGATACATTGAATATATTATAATTATCAAATTAATTTAATTTTTTGGACAAATTACATTAGTAGTTCCTACATTTTGTCTCTGGTATTATTTTGGTCCCTATACTTTCAATTATCTCAATTTTGACTATTTAATTTTAGATTTTGTGTCAATTTGGTCCAATTGATAAAGTCATTAAGATTTTTGACGAAAATTTATTGTTAAATTGGTTGATATTAACTCATTGAGTTGAGAAAGTTTATAATTTTGTCCGTAAAGGCATGTCGCAAGTCGCTTATTTGAGTATTCTTTATACGAAAATGCAAACAATTGGAATCAATTGGATTAGATTGAGATAAAATATAAATTTTGGGTTAAAATCAAGCTAATTAAAATTATAGGAACTAAAATGATATAGTGACCAAAATATAAGAACTACCAGTATAATTTGCCATAATTTTTTTTTATGAATGATATGTATAAAAATTTTAAAAAAATAAATAATTTAAATTATTAAAAGAGGAATACTGATAAGTTTCCCAGTCCCAAAGAAACATTCTACAATCCTATACGGTACTTCGAGAAAATTTGACAAAAAAATTTCTTAGCCAATGAGGTAATAGAAAATTTGACGGAAAAAAAAAAAAATGCTACCAGCTTTGTTAGCTCGTTAAAAAATAATAATAATAAACAATCTTATCTTGTGTGTTGTATATTTTTCATTTGACGAAACAGAAAAATTACAAAATTTGACTTATTTATTCAAAATTTGCCTAGAAATAAGAATTAATGACTCAAATTCATTTCATTCATAGATGAAACTATTCAATGCTCTTATAACGCCACGTCTTCATACTCTTTCACTAATTATCATACATTATGTCTTATCGTATTCCTCAATTATCTGACACAAAATCATGAACCCTACCCTCTCTACTAATCACAACACCTTAGAGTACCACGTGACCGTATTTCAAGAGTACCCAATAATCACTCTTCATAAACTCCATATATCATCAATTTAATTTCTATTACCTATATCTTTTTTGAACAAATTCTGAGGAGTAATACTAGAAATTTTAAAAATTTTACTAAATTTTTTATCAAATATCTTATATTGATATGAGACCTACATGAGTCTCATACTCATATAAGATATTTAATAAAAATTTTAAAATCTCTAATATTTTTTATTTCTGAAACTTTAATTCCTAGACCCTTAAGAAAAGTCTTTCATGAAATGAAAACCTTCATGAATGTGTTTGCCACCGCCAGCGCAACTTATGGACCAAACCACTGCATTTGTAATGATTTTTGGTCAAAGTTCAACTCCGTCAGTCATTGCATCTTGTCTCTTTCCTAATTTTCCACAAAACCAGCCTCATTTCTTTTTCTAGAAGCTATGTCAACGGTTCAGTTTCATCTCCACCTCTCTATCTCCTCACTATATATCTACATCTGATTTTAATAAATTGTTGAAACACAAAAAAGTATCCCCATGATGAAGAGTTTCAACACCGTTTTGTTCCTTTCCATTCTAATTTGCTTGCTTGGCCTCACGACCACCAAAGCATCCCCAAATTACCTTTATACTCAATGCCCAAACACAACAACTTACACTCCCAACAGCACATACCAATCCAACCTCAACACCCTCTTCTCTGTTCTCGCTTCCAAGTCCACCACCATCAATGGCTTCTACAACTTCACTGCTGGCCTCAGTCCCCCCGACATAGCCTACGGCCTCTTCCTCTGTCGCGGTGATGTTTCAACCCAAATCTGTCAAGACTGCGTGGCCACTGCTACTAAAGAAGTAGTACAAAACTGTCCCAATTCGAAGGCTGTTACGATTTGGTACGATGAGTGCATGTTGCGATACTCGAACAAGTCAATCTTCTCGATTTCCGACCATTCTTTCGGATTAATCTTAGTTAATACAGAGAACATAAATGATCCAAAAAGTTTTACAAATTTGTTGGGAAAAGTAATGGATGATGTAGCGACTCGTGCTTCGAATGGCGTGTCGGGTAAGAAGTTCGCGACGAGAGAAGCTGACTTCTCTGCACTTCAGAAGCTGTATGGATTAGCGCAGTGCACACCGGACTTGACTACCTTTGATTGCAATAGTTGTCTTAGAGATGCTATCTCGAGTTTTCCGGATTGCTGCGACGGAAGAAGAGGTGGGAGAGTTCTGTTTCCAAGTTGCAATGTCCGGTACGAGACTTATCCTTTTTATGCCGCCCCTACACCGCCGCCTTCTCTAGTTTAAGTAGCGGTATATATATCAGTATCTGATCAATATTGTACAATTGATATATCAATGACGACTGATATTTAAAACTTATTGAAACTTGTGAAGGTAGCTTATCAAAATCTTCTATATGGCAGGATTCCTTTTTATGCAGCCCTGTACTGGGTTAAATAGTAATATTCAGATAGAGTAATGTTTGGTAGCTCAAGACTTTCCCTTCAAATCTCTCTAATGCTCAAAATAACGTCGTTTTGGGCATTAAGTTTTTTTCTTTTCTTTTTTTTTCCTCCATTTTCAGTCTGAAATTGAAACGCAAGGGAGGAGGGAGAGGGAGAGGGAGAGGGAGAGAAAGAGAGAATAAGAAGGAAGAAGAGAGCTGCGAGCCTCGCCGCCCGCCGTCGTCGCCTCACCCCAAGCTCGTCGCAGTAGCAGCAGCTCCGACCGCCATCTCCGCCTCCGCCTCCTCCTCCCCCTCCAGTCCCTCCTCCTCCTCCTCCCTTTTCCTCCTTCTTCTTCCTAGTTCTGATCTGTAAAAAACGGCGTCATTTTTTGTTCGGGGGATTCGGGGGGAGGGGTTTCGAGCTACGTAGCATCACTCATTGAGATATGTATCAGTATTTGTCAATCAATATATCTATAACGCCGATATTTAACAACTTATCAAAACTTGTCAAGCTAGAATAATAAAGGGGATTCCGGTGATATATTTAAATCTAACTTTCTTTGTCTAAAGGTCCAAGCATTCCTTGGAATGTTTTGGAAAGATGGTTAAAAATTATTTTTTGATTTTTTTTATCTTTTTTATGAGAGGAAAGTAGATTAAAAATTGAAAAGTGGCTTTTAACTTACTTTTCAAAATAGGCCAAAAAATTGGGCGATTCTATTTATATATCACTACTGCTTTCAGTACACATCATTACTAAGTATACACACAAAATAATTTTTAGGGTTTAAAAATATCTTAGTTTACACTTTAATTGTCCATTACTAATCCTATATTAACACACCACTAACTATTTGAATACACACAATTGCACATGCCAAAAACTTTTCATCTTCACCACTACACACAACAAAAATCCCACAATCTTCAGAATACATACCAACAGAGACCATCTCCGTCGATCTTGATCTCCATCCTCGACAGAGGTTTCATTCGGTATCCATTTTCGCTGGTGTTAATCTCCATAATTGGTGTTGAACTCTCATTATGCCTCATCTCGTTGTCTCATCGTTTCAATTCATCGACAGAGCGTTTCATTTGGCCTCCTTCTTTGCCAGTCTTGATATTCGTTGTCAGTCTTGAACTCTCATCTCTCATTGTCGTTTCAAATTCATCAAATTAGTCATGTTCATTGATATAGAGTTGAACAAACTTAATGTGTTTAAAAATTTATATCTGAACAATCAATAAAAGTTTAATTTATTTTAACTAAACTAACTTAAAATGTTTAATTTTTTATGTATGAACATTTAATTTTTGGTCAATCTTAATAATTTGAACAAAATTATTTTGTTCAAATATAAATAATCAAACATAGTGCAAAAGTTTATCTCGAACTATCCAAACACGACGAACAAACTAAACTTCCCAACATACGAACGGAATAAATAAAAAACTAAAAAATTAAGTCATAAACTAATAATTTTAATGTTCAAGTCAACGTTTTCAATGTTTATATCGGAATCTGTTGGACAATTTTCACTATATTTGAAAAATAAATTCTGTTTGTGTACTTAACAACAAACAGAATACAGAAGAAATAATAGAAAATGAGAGAATATGTTTGATTACAAAAATCAAACCAGAAAAATAAAATAAAATAAATAAAAAAAGATTTTTATTTTGTTACAAAAACAAAATTAAAATTTGATTTAAATAAATAAAAATAAAACAGAAAACAAATTAACAACTTACTTAATCAATTTCTTGAACAAACTTTTGATCAAGTCCAGTGTTTAACATTGTGTCCTTAAAATAGGTTCGTCCTCTCTACGATACTTTCAGATTTTCGGACGTCTATCTCCTAGAATAAAATGATCAACAACGGAAAAATGCAGCACTACAATTTATTCGCACAGCGAACACACTAAGTGTATACACTCTTTACTTTCTCACATAAATTTAACGTAGCAAAAATGCAGAGATTATTTGTAGATGAGAAGTACGAAAATTATGAATGAAAATATCAAATGAGGGCTGCCTATTTATAGATGGAGCGGTGACTGTTTAATTTGAATTAAACATGTGCAGATTTGAATGAACATGTATGGTACCTGTTGGGTTTGATTTAAACAGATACAAATCTGTTTACACAGGTAAGCACTATTTTCTTTGAATTTTAATTTCGAACAGATTAAAAACTGTATTAAACATATTCGAATTTGTACAGAAATTAGGAAGGGGTGCAGAAACAAATTGAATTTGAAATTAAAATTTCGGACAGATTTTATTTTACTAAAAAATAAAATTAAATTCAAATGTTTTTAGCCTAAAAAGATAAGTATTGGGCTGAACAAGCACAACCCAACCTCACACCACACACCCAAGTCCACCCGGAAGGCTGCGGTGGCGCACGTGTGGTGATTTTTTGGGTTCAATAGGTCTAACTTATTTTGCCCATAACCTCCATTTTTACAAACCTTGGGTGCCCCTTGGGGCCTACCTCAAGTTCCAATTACAAACCTTATAAACCCACTCAAAATTTCCTACCAAATCAATGTAGGACAAGCCATTTTCTAAATTTTAAGTAATTTTCAGCAAAAACTCCATTTCTATGGAGCTCATTTTGATTTTAATTTCTTATTCACCCGATAATGGTTTTGAGCAACCAAATATACCACGTGAATCACAATGCGTCATAGAACGCGTCACCACTTAAACTCACGAAATTCGGCGTATGGGTCCCACCTAAAAATTAGGTCAAAGTTTAAGAAAAAATCTATTTTCCAGATTTTCCCAAAACCATTTCTAACAGAATCAACCATCTCAGTGTCATCCACGGTATGTAAATCTTCAAAACTAATTGATTTTAATGTTTTTAAATCCTAAATCTTCAAAGGCAATAATACTTTAAGTTTGGAAAATAAGTATAATGGATAAGAGAATGAAGTGAGCTAATTGATAATAAATGATATCATGAGTATATATTAATGGTGAAATTGATGAAGAAATGCAATGTTTTATTGTTAAAAACCTAAACCTTATAGGAATAATGGTGTGTAAAGAGTATTTTGTATTTTTTATATATGAAATTTTTTGAATAGATAGAATACACCTCATGTTGTCCTCAATGGTGATTTTATTAGAAGATATTATTGGAATATAAATTTAATTTATATACTAAAAGTATTAATGATGTGTAAATAAAAGCACCTAAAATATAATGTTCAAAAGGACAAATTTCTTTAAAGTGATCAAAATATCCATTCCCTAGGTATGCCGATCTGTTGAAATTGACGTTTTGGAACAGATTTCCTCAAACCCCCTCTCTCTCCCTCTCTCTTCTCTCTGTATTTCTTTTCAAACCCTCTCTCTTTCTCTCTTCAAACCCTCTCCTCTCTCCCTTCTCCCCTCTATCTCCTTCTCTCCATCACCAAGAACGCTGATGTACCTGGACAATAAGCCCCTCGAGGCCTGCCGTACTAGGCGGCGATGGCGCTGAAACAGGTGGCTCGCCGATTCGGTGAGGTCGCACTGAGGTTACTAGAGATGCGGTCATTCTTCAGTGGTGAGATGCCGACGACACCAGCGGTGAACGTGCCGATGCCATTGGCGAAGAACATGAGTGACGCAACAACCTTAACCTCATTATTAACACCGAAATCGTCAGCGATGGAAGATCCAGATCTATCTAGACGATGTGGCAGAGCTTCGATTTGCTTCAATCTTGATATGCATTGATCGATGATAGTAAGAGTCGGAGATGTGCTTCGATCTAGAGTAACACAAACTCTATTCTCACTCATGCTCGAAAACAGATGAAGGCACCACCGTCGGATCGAAATCCAGATACATATTCAACCTTCTTCGATCCAGATCATCACAGATCCTGGTCTCTCTCTCTCTCTCTCTCTCTCTCTCTCGCTCCCCCCCTCACAGATCGATGTGAACGGATGGTCTCTCTTCCCTCTCTCATTATATCTATACATATACCAAATCTCTATTCCTCTCCATTTTCCATCTCTCTCTCTCTTTCTCTTAATTATGGATTTCACTTCGATTGTTCAAAATCCAATTCATCGCAAGGTCTCATGTAGATAAAACAATCAGACACGTGTATATATCAATCTGAATCGATCTAAGAAACCCCACTTTTTCGATCTATTTAGCGTTGAATCAATTTATGTATTGGATATATATGAAATCTTTATTTATTTATTTATTTATTTTTAAGTTGATGTTGATGATCTGATTTTTTTTTTTTAAATTTTTTGGTGTTGATGATGATTGTGATGAAACAAATTGCAACAGATATGGATAGATAGATAGATGGAGAGAGAGAGAGAGAGAGATTTGAACAGATAGAATTTGGAGGTTATTTAGAATGATCTAAATAAGTATATTTTTTGAATTTTTATAAAATATGAATTGAGTTTGAAGTGATATGATAGAAAGGTAATGTGACTTAAATAAGATGATGTGATTTAAATAGGATAGTGATTTTTTTACTTTTTAACTTTCTCGATCAGGTTATGACAAACAAGAGCTTGGTTTGCTTTGGTATTCCAACATATATATACAAAAATAAATAAATAAATAATTGAATAGAGATTTTTTCAACACATAGAGAGAGAGCAAAGAGAGGTGGCGAGTGAAACAAATACAGAGAGAAAATAGAACTGGCTGTAGGAAAAATTAAGAAAATATGTAAAATTAAAAAGAGAAAAATAGATTTTAAAAATAAAACCAATGATAGTAGTTCTTGTCTAGAATTTTAACATTATACCCTAGTTATTAAAGTACCATGTAGAATATTACAGTTTATAAAATATAATTTGTTAGGTTTTTATTCTTGGCAATCCCGTTTGACAAAACTCGTTTAAGTTGTATTTGTTTTCGCACTTTTTATTTTAGTGAGGTTATAAGTGTTTAGATGCGAATCCAACTCGAATTGTGCCTTGCAGAGAAGTTTGTGATGTTAATACTTTCAAGATTGCCACTTCGCTGATTATGACGGGAATCAAGCTGCCTGGTCAGCTCGCGGAGGTCCAGGGGGCAGCGCCCTTTGGCGGGTTCGGGGCAACGCCACGGCGGGGTCGAGGGGCAGCCCCCCCGAAGCAAAATGTAAAAATGCATTCCAAGTTGCATGTCCGCTCGAGCGAACATTCCCCCGCTCGAGCGGAGAATGCTGAGTTCCAGAAGTTTATTCGTCTACAAAAATACTAGATGTTGTTTTTTCCCGCTCGAGCGGAACTTTCCGCACTCGAGCGTGGGTCCGCTCGAGCGGCCAATCTGACGCTCGAGCGGAGATCGCGGGACAGTTTTCTATAAATACGTATTTCAGACCAAATCTAGGATAACTTCTCCAGTTCTTCTTTTTGGATTCCAAGGTTTATATCTGGGGATATTTTGCTAGTTTTCTTTGATGTTTTGATTGAGTATTCAACTCATGGTTTAAAGAGTATACATCAAAGGCTTATTTGTTTGTTCTACACAAAAGAAAAAGTTGTTCTTCGGTGGATTCTGAAGAATTCGAGCCTGAAACTTTGGTGGATTCTGGAGTGGCTCATCGTCAAGACAATTCCGAGGTGAAGACGGGATTGGAAGAGGCATATAGGGGTTGGTTCAATTCGGGCGTGGGTTCACTAGGTAATTGAGAGTATACCTGTGTAATTCCTTTATATCTTCTTAATGAATTGTGTTAGGTTTTATTTTTGGCAATCCCGTTTGACAAAACTCCTTTCAGTTGTATTTATTTTCGTACTTTTATTTCAGTGAGGCTATGAGTGTTTAGATGTGAATCCAACCTGAATTGTGCTTTTCAGAGAAGTTTGTGATGCTAAAGCTTTCAAGATTGCCACTTCGCTGATTATGACGGGGATCGAGCTGCCCGGTCAGCTCGCGGGGGTCAAGGGGGCAGCACCCCTTGGCGGGTACGGGGCAGCACCACGGCGGGGTCGAGGGGCAGCGCCCCCGAAGCAAAATGCAAAAATGTATTCCAAGTTGCCTGTCCGCTCGAGCGGACATACCCGTGCTCGAACGGAGAATCCCTGGTTCCAGCAGTTTTGGTCGCTTGAAAAAATACTGAGACGTGTGATTTCGCGCTCGAGCGGATCTCTGTTATGTTACGCGCATATTTTGCTAAAGCCGCTCGAGCGGGCTGTTGGGCGCTCGAGCGGAGATCGCGGGACAGATTCTATAAATTCGCATGTTGGGTCAGATTTTAGTATAACTACTCCAGATCTACTTTTTGGGTTCTAGGGTTTATATCTGGGAGTACTTTGTGAGTTTTCTTTGATGTTTTGATTGAGTATTCAACTCATGGTTTAAAAAGAGTACATCAAAGGTTTTGTTTGCTATACAAAAGAGAGAGTTGTTCTTCGGTGGATTCTGAAGAATTCGAGCCTGAAGCTTTGGTGAATTCCGGGGTGGCTCATCGAAAAGACAATTCCGAGGTAAAGACGGGTTGGAAGAGGCACATAGAGGTGGGTTCAATTAGGCGTGGATTCGCTAGGTAATTGAGAGTATACCTGTGTAATTCCTTTAAATCTTCTTAGTGGATTGTTTTGTGGCTGTTGACCGTGCTTTTTTGATCACAGTTGGAGGTGTCTAATTGTGGTTTTTTTCACGTAAAATCGTTGTGTCTCTTTGTCTTGATTGTTTGATTGGGATTGTTATATTGTGCTTAAAATTGATACATAATCACAAATCAACATCTAGGGGATTTCTAGTTTTTTCAAATTATTTTGTGGCTATTGCCCGTGATTTTTTTTATCACAATTGGAGGTGTCTAATTGTGGCTTTTTTCACGTAAAATCGTTGTGTCGATTTGTCTTGATTCTTTGATTGGAATTGTTGTTTATTGCTTAAAATTGATACATAATCACAAATCAACATCCAGGGAATTTCTAGATTTTTCATAATTTAAACCGAAAAAATGGTGTGTGAAGATAATCTGTGAATTTTTTAGACACAACACAAATCTTCATTTTAAAAATGCATGCGCTTTTCTTGGTCTAGATTTGAAAGAATGCATACAATTTTAAAATTTAACTAAAATTATTCACTGTGATATGATTCATGATGGACAATTGTAAATATTATGTATATTAGTATAGAAGAAGACATCAAAAATAAGAAATAATAATTATTTTTTGCTCTTCAATCATCATCAATGTAAAAAATAGGGTGATGGCTTTTTTATTTTTTATTTATTTATTTTTTATATAAGAAGGAGACTATTTGTTTATATTTATATAGGACTCTTGGAAGCAGATTTATCGTTTTTAAGTGTTCAACTCCAAAATTAAAGAGATAATTGATTTATATAGGACTCTTCATGACTTTTAAAAAATATAATAGATTTGAGAGAGTAAAATTGAGATTTTAAAACAGTAAAAAATATGAGAGACTCTTCACACTTTTATAACAGTAGTAGATTGTGCTCGTTTAAAGTTTTTTATTTTTATAAGATAGGTGATACAGATGGTGTATTGGAGTATTTGCAAAAAATGCAATTAGAAGACCCTAATTTTTATTATGTCATACAAGTGGACGAAGATGATTTGATTATTAATATCTTTTGGTCAGATGCAAAGATGATGGCTGATTATGCTCATTTTGGAGATGTAGTATGTTTTGATACGACGTATAGAAAAAATAAAGAAGGTCAATCTTTTGCAATGTTTGTTGGGGTGAACCATCACAAGCAAACCACTGTTTTTAGTGCTGCATTGTTATACGATGAGATAACTAATTCTTTTATGTGGTTATTTGATACTTTTGCTAAGGCTACGTCTGGAAAAACACCAAGAACTATCCTTACAGATCAAGATCCAGCAATGGCAAAAGCATTAGCTACTCAATGGCCAGACACATTTCACCGTTCATGTATTTGGCACATCTACCAAAATGCAGCTATGAAACTTAGTGGTGTATTTGCAAGGTTCAAAGAATTTACAAAAGATTTTAGTGACTGCATATACAACTATGAAAAAGAAGATGATTTTATCAATGCGTGAAATGTGATGCTTCAAAAATATAGTCTTGAAGATAATGATTGGTTGAAGCGAATGTATACTATGAAGGAGAAATGGGCTTTAGTTTATGGCAGACAAACTTTTTGTGCAGACATGACCACCACCCAGTGCAGTGAGAGCATGAATAGTGTTGTAAAAAAATATGTCAACTACAAGCATGATTTGTTTCTTTTTTTCCAACACTTCCAAAGGTTAATTAATGATTGCCGTTATGAAGAGCTCAAAGCTGATTTTCGAGCAAGTCAAAGTACCCCGAGTTTAACATTTCTAGTAGAAATTTTAAAGCATGCAGCAAGTATGTACTCACAAGAGGTTTTCGAATTATTTCAAGCTAAGTTGTGCAAGGCTTATGATTGTAATATGCATCTATGTGGTGAGGATGGAACAGTGACTGAATATAAGATCATTCCTTACCACAAGCGTCACGATCATACTGTTACATACGACTCGTCAAAAGGTACAGTGGTGTGTAGCTGTAAGAAATTTGAGTTCATGGGAATTTTATGTTCACATGCACTTAAAGTTTTTTCTTCAAAAAATGTTATGAAGATACCTGGCCAGTACATTTTGAAGAGATGGACAAAGGATGTAAAATCAGGGAGTATAGAAGTGACTTCTATAAGCTATGAAGATCCAATGGCAGTGATTGGAGGACAATACAAAGAGTTGTGTCACTTGTGTACTCAATTGGCAACTAGAGCTGCTGAAATGGAAAAAACTTATAAAATTGCTTTAGATGGCCTTAACAAGATATTGGAAGAGGTGAATGCAAGTTTAAGAGGAGTTGTAATTGTGAAAACTTGTCTTGGGACTTCACATGCCAACAATAATTTGTTCAAGCTAAATAAAACCATATGTGTTGATGGCATTGATGTAAGAGTTAGAGGTATTAAAGTTAAAAGAGAGAACTAATAGCAAGTCTAGCAAAAGGCCAAAATGTGCTCTTGAAAGGGCTACTAAGAACAAAAAATCTCAGGGAAGTCCATTCTCAAATGATGATAACCCAATGTATGATCATGTTAAACAAAGTGAATTTTCTCCATCAGCGCACTTCACACAGGTATCATTATTGTTATATAAAATCATTTGTCTTCCTTTTAGTCATACGTACTATAAAATCATTTGTCTTCCTATTTTACAAGTGATGTAATTGATATTCTCTCTCTCTCTCTCTCTCTCTCTCTCTCTCTCTCTCTCTGTGTGTGGAATGATTCAATTCAAAAAACCAATAGTAACTCAATGCTCACCCAAGTATGGATGTTCCTACTGTGCACACATTATTTCATCAATCGTCACAACTAACACAAACATCTCAATATGGACAGGTAAATTTTAGTCTCTCATAAGTTCTCATTATTAAACTTGCATTTTTTTTTATTATTTATTGTGTTTTGTTTTGTTTTTTATTAGCAGGATAACTTATATGTTTCATTCGTGCAATTTTTAAAAAAAATATGTATCAGGAAAATGATCTTAGCACTTACAGTCTATTCAAAAATCAACGAGGGCCTATTAAAATGACTGATTTACTACAGGCAACTTGGTGTTTCTTACACAATTTATGTTTTTTTTTTTTTTTCAATTTAAGAAGAATATACCACAGAGATAACATAATTTTTCGTATTTATAGGCACAACTACCAGCACAAGGATATGGTGGATTTTACTTCAATAACTTTCATGACAAAGGCCAAATGAAAGGAGGACCAACATTGAAGTTTAAGATGACAATCATGATGGAATGCTTGCAATGACAGCTTTATATAGCAATATCCAGAAGTTGGTTTTTATGTGGGGATGCTAAAGTTTCAATTAGTTTTACAAATTTCCTTTCGGTTTATGCATGTGATTGAATTTTTATGTAAAGATTGACAACATTTGCTTTTATTATTTTTCTGGTATTTATGAATTGGTGGCAAGACAAATGATTAGTAACACTTTGTTTTTGAAAGAGTTTAAGCAATATAAAACTATCTCTTGTTTGATTTCTCATTGAAAGCTATTATCTTATTTGTGATTCTTGATCACTCACAGAAATCATGTTGTAAAGGCTCCTTTGTTGAACCCAATTTGAGCTAGGATTTGATTTTCCTGAACAAATTATGATTCTAATTAAAAATGTCACAAGCTACTTGAGGATGTATTTTGACAAAATGCAACCACCTAGACATATAGTCAAACAAAAATATTTTATTATGTTTGGTTCAGTGGGATAAAATTTTTACTTTTGATTTACCATGAAGATTATAGAAAATACATTGAAACTAGTTTAAGGGAATGAGAATTTCATAAGGCCATCTCCAACCTTTCACAATTTTTTATTTTTATTTTTTATTTTTTTTATCTATTTTGATTTTAAATTTCATAAAAAAAATTAATTTGATATAAGTAATTCTATTTTTTTTTATCAAATTTTCATCAAAATCTTTTTAAAAAAATTCCATCTTATCTCAAATTTCTCTTTTCTACAAATTTGACCCAAAAATAATAATAATAATAATAAAAACCATCTCTAATGTCTAAGATAAAATTCAAATTTGATAAACTATCAATTTGATAAAAATAAAATAAATTTTTCGATTTGATCCCCAAAAAAAAATAAATAAATAAATAAATAAAATAAAAAATAAAAACCATCTCTAATGTCTGAGATAAAATTCAATTTTGATAACTTGTCAATTTGATAAATAAATAAAAAAATTACTCTTCCTCAATCTGAAAGAATTTGAGATAATTTTTTGAACATCTTTAAATTAAATTAAAATGTAATAATAGAAATGTGAAGGATTAGAGATGCTTAGACTAAAAGTATGATCACCCATTACAATTCACATTTATTCAAATAAACCAAATAAATTACAAATAATATTGGTTGTCACAGGCATCTAGGTATTTTGATCATAAAAGGTGAGGTTGGGGTTTTTCACTATCACAAAAAAATAAAAAAATTATAATAAAAAATCAAGCAACACAATATGGGAAATCAATTGCTTATTTTTTTTGAACATGACTGAGCAGGGTTTGGAATAGATGAAAATCTAAAATTGCAAACAAAATAGATCACATAAAAAATTTCAGGAAACTAATTGTATCAAACATATACTATGGCTCAATACATGATACTTCAAATTCCATGCTTGTGGAACTTGACAATTTGTTGAGGAATTGGGCAAAACTTGAGGAAGAAGCATAAAGAAACCCAATATAGAGCCTCTAGTTCACCTCTGCAACTTGTGTTAACTTTTTTTCTATTTCTCTTACTCTCTATATTGTCGAATATGTGGAGCATAGTTCTAAATATCGGCCGATACGCTACGTATCGGCCGATACGTATCGGAAAAATGGGTTACCGCGACCGATACAGGCCGATATACCACTGAGATTAAAAATCGCAGGAGTATCGGCCGAGTCCCGGTACGTATCGGCCTGTAAGCGTTACATAAGCCGCGACGGGCCGATACTCACCGGTTCGGACCGGTACGGGAAAGAAAAAGTTAAAAAACCTTTGAAATGATTTTTAAAATTTCACCACCGCGACACCCGATTCCCGATACGTACCGATCGATACTACCGATACCGATACTCCGCGATCGATACCGTTACGTTACCCGATACCGCGATTTAGAACCTTGATGTGGAGTGTTGTTCTTGGAAATGTAAAAGGTGCAGCACAGAGGGTACGTAAATGAATAGGTAGGTAAATGAATAGGCCCACTTTATTTTAATTATAAAATATCAAAAATGTTAGAGGCTTCAAAAATTCTACCAAAAGTTTTATTAAATGTGTGTGGAATCCACATGGGACCCACATAAAATCCCCATGTGAGACATTTGGTAAAATTTTTGGTAAAATATTTGGGGTCTCTAGCATTACTCATAAAATATATAAAAGAGTTTCTGTTAACCTGACAGAGTTAAGTTTTGTTTAAATATTAGGCCACGTGGCGAGCTGAGATGCATGGGATAGGAAGCCGGGATAGCAAATGGGTATAGTGGATCCGCAGCCCCCTACATATACCAATCTTGAAATTGTTTTCATAACATATTTCGTAATCAATTATAATTTAGCAAACAATCAATCAAATGTCGTGAACGTAGGATTATAAAATCGATATTGTTAATCTTTTAATTATATCATAATAATTCATGAAGGTGGACTGTGCTATATATGAGTTTCTGTTAACAAGTGCCCTCAAATGTCGTGAACGTAGGATTATAAAATCGATACCTTTAATCAAATTCAGTTGATATTTTAATTAGAAGATCATAATAATTCATGAAGAAATGGGTTTTTGTTAACAAGTATATTAAATCCTCTCAACCAACTTCACTAGGAAATTAAAAAAGGTTTTTAACGTGTTTTTTCTAGAGACCAAATTACCCTTTCATCAAATTTTTTTTATTTTATTTTAATATACTTTTGATAATGAATTTTTTTTAGGGGAAATAACATATGTTAAAAAAATGGTTAAAAAAAACATTATCAAAAGTATATAAAAATATTAAAATAAAAAGAATTGAAGAAAAGGTAATTTGTCTCTAAAAAAAAAACACATTTTAAACATTTTTAATTTCTTATGATAGTGGAATTAGTTAAGAGGATTTAGGTCTCGTTTAAAAACATAATGTTTTAGTTTTTTGACTAAAATATTATGTAAAAAAAACTAGTATATTTGTGATGACTTTTTAATTTTTTACGAAAAAATGTGCAAAAAGTAGAGAGAAAAGTGAATCTTTGACTTTTTGATATAGATTGTTGGTTTTTTTGATTTTTTTAATAACTTTTTGGCTAAAATCATCACTTGCCAAACAAGGTCTTAATGCATCCTTAATAAGTGCCATAAAAGGGGAATTAGGATCCTTTCCTTGAGGCTCTCCATGTGGCTCCTTACTAGGGATGATCAAGATTGGGTCACGTCAACTCACAAGAAAGATAGATGGCTAAGATTTGTTTATTTAAAAAATATCCTACATGTAAGATAAGAATCTTACATGTAAAATAACCTAAATTTGAATTTAAAATGAACATATCTCACCTGCTTATCTCTCTTGTGGGTTGACGTAGTCCAATCTCAACCATCCCCCATGGAAAGCCCTGTAGAGAGCCTCAAGGAGTGGATCATAATTCATGAGACACTTGTTAACAAAACCAATCATATGTAAATACTTTAATAATGAGGTTGGCTTCCCTTTAGTTCAATATGGTCTGGAGGGTAATGTTGTGTGTGTGTGGAGGCTCATCACGGATTTTATTTTGATAATCTGAATCATTTAATGTGTTGAACTCATCGAGGACTATGTGTCTGTAAAAAACACGTCAATCGGATATCGATAACTACCTGATCAAATCTATTTTGTATAAAAAAATGGATGGTAAAAAAATAAATAGTTAACAAAAATCTGATCCGATAAGATAGCTATCGATATTTAATTAACGTGATTTTTTCATAGACGTATAGTACTCGACAAGTTTTACACATTAAACGGTTTAAACTATCGAAATGGGACCCATGATGGACCCCCACGGGCAGTGACGAAGCCAGGAAATTAAATAAAAGGGACACTTATTAATTACAACTTTAATTTTTTTTTCATAACCAACAATAAGAAAATAATAATAATTTTTTAATTAATATTAAGTACACAACTTAAATAAATTATTACAAAAGTATTTCATATTAAATTTTACAATTAACTTCGAATAAAATCGAAAAGAAAATATTGTGTATAACTAATGTATCATCGACAATATAAAAAAGTCATATATTTAGGTTATAAAATAAATTATATAATGATAAGATAAATCAAAATTTTACAAAATTTGAGTAAAAATTTCATATTATGGTGATCTCACGTCATTATTGACATATGATATCACCAACTAATAATAAAGCAACATATGAAGGGTGAACT